ACGTTCCAAGGGGCCTGACTGTGTGTTGTTGGACTTGCTACGTTGATAGTATATGCAGCTTATTGACCGCCTCTTTAAATCTAAGTTAACCTTAGGCCAGATAAAGCGATCAGTGATGCGGATGGTTGTGTCTGGGATTCCATGGGGTGCAAGTACATGTAGTTGTTGAGATATCCTTCGTCGATAAACTTTGTGTATAAAAGGACGATTTGTAAGCAGTGATGGATAGTGGCTAGCAGTGGAATCGTGGACGCGCGTTTCGCCCTATTTGGGACTCGTCAGCAGGATGTACCTGCATCTCAGAGTTATTGTTCACTCTGGGACTCGAACCCAGTAACATTCACTCCAAACGCCATCGCTTTATCCACTCAGCTACGAAGTCCTGATAGCCACTTGCTTATGCAATGGGGTGAATCTGAATTCACTTGGTATTGTTTGGCTTGTATCTTCCCATTGATGATTAGGACTGCAACTGATCAATTCCTTATTTGTGAATGTGCATACTGTGCATATCGCTTCAATATTGTCTCGATTCACAAACATTATAAGCGATGATGGATAGTGGCTAACAGTGAAATGCAGAACGCGCGTTTCGTCCTATTCGTCCAATAAGAGACTGATCAATTGCAATCCTAATCGTCAATGGGAAGATACAAGCCAAACAATACCAAGTGAATTCAGATTCACACCATTGCACAAGCAAGTAGCTATCAGGACTTCGTAGCTGAGTGGATAACGCGATGGCTTTTGGAGCAAATGTTGCTGGGTTCGAGTCCCAGAGTGAACATTAACTCTGAGATGCAGGTTCATCCAGCTGACGAGTCCCAAATAGGGCGAAACGCGCGTCCTCGATTCCACTGCTAGCCACTATCCATCATTGCTTACAAATAGCTTGTGAATTAAAATAATATCGAGGCATACGCACAATATGCATATAAGCCAATAACAGACTGATCCATTGCAGTCTTAAACTTCAATGGGAAGATACAAGCCAAGCCATACCATAAGGACAATTGTTACCGGTTGAAACATCACAGATAGTATATTATTTGGTGAAAAGAACAGGTACAGATTCGATAATCAAGTTAGAATTTTGTTTACAGTTTCTTTGTTCTTCATACTCTACTTGTAATATGGTTATGGTTTTAAGTTTAGTGCCTCAATAATGTACCAGCATATTGATATCCTTTCGTAATGCAACGTCGGCTACGATATCGGGATGTCCTTTGATGAACTGGATATCTGCTGTGAATTTCGGGATGCAATCCAGTTGTCACTCTTTGCACGGCGAATGTCAGTCGTATGAAGTGTTAATAGAATAACACAAGGGTTTATGATGAATCATTGTAGTAAATTCACGTCTTTGTATCAGGTATGTTAAGTACATTACAGCTAAATGAATAGCTAGTAACTCACATTCAAAGTTGCTGTAACGTTCTTGAGCTGGCAATAGTCATTTGGAGAATAATAATATAGGTTTAAAAATGTCATTTACTCGTTGTTGTAATACTGGCTCTACAGCTTTCTGAGATGCATCAGTGGAGAGAACTAGGTATTATGTAGGGTCAGGATTTAAGTGTAGCAACGTAGTGGCGTTCGACATCATAGACATTGCTTTATCTAAAGCAGTTTTGCATCGGGTGATGAAGTGAAAGGTTTGTCTTTCTATGACTCCGTTTCCTTTTTACCCCCTTTCAGAAGACCTGTTACGGGTCCTAATGTTATTGCGCAATTAGGTGGTGAACTACGGTAAAAGTTATACATGTCATGGAATCGACGATACTTGAGGTATTCCGGCGTCCTGAGAGCTCGAGTGGGACTTTGCTGATTTTGGCTCCAGTATCGACTAAATCGTCTGAGCCAGAAATACGGTCCCTGATGTGTAAGAGACGGCTTGTGATGTGACCGGAAGCAGGAGTCGCCGCTGCTGTCGAACCGGCAAATTTCCCAGATTCCCATTATTGGTTGATGTGAATGTGCACGGTCGTGTGCAGCGCCATGTCTTTTCGCCTTATTACTGACGATACCAACAGACTACAGAGATCCGCTCAGGTAATCAAGGACGCTGCATCCAAATGGATCTCTGTCTGGGCGATGATCTGTATCGTCTGATCTGGACCATGGCTATCGTTGCTTGTAATGATCCTAATTGATTTTTTTCAGTTCCGTTAACTTTTGCTGAAAAGTTGCTGTGCTACAGGAATCTGGTCTTCCGACAGCTCGTACTGTGTTTATGTCGCGGTAATCTTGATAGATCTACATTATCTTATCGGCCACATCTACCAAATCTTCGGTGGTTACTAAATTCTCTGATACACTGAGAATTTGTCTAACGTTATGTGGTAAACGTTGAAACCACATTTGATTCAAAAGTGCTTCGTTCAATTTCTATAGACCAGCTAGATGTTTCATATGACGTGAAAATTGCAAGGGTTACTTATCCCCAGAGTCGCATGCACCCAACAATTTTTCCAAAATTTTTTTACCAGAATAAAATGTACGTTGAATTACCGCTGATTTTATCCTATCGTGTGGTCCATCCACTGGTACCTAATTGATTAAGTGCGCAGCCTCTGCAGCCATTTCGAATGGGAGTGCGCCCGTTACCTATGTGTATTTTGTTGCCTGAGAACGTGTTCCTGGAGGTATGAATGAAGCTTCTTCTTGTGCAAACCAGACTTTGGACTGTTAGCCCCAGATATAGCATTAACTGCTTAGAATGGTGTCGGACCAGTTGGGTGATGAAGAAGGAGCGTTTATAGGTTATCAAGAGAGTACATCATAAGGAAAATAAACTAACGAATCAGTGTGAACCAGATATGCATTCTTCAATTTCATAAGCTGGATGCGGTGCCCCTATTAGGTGGGTAATAAACATTGTACTCACAATACGGTACAAACGAATGAACCTATTAATCAACTAGCCGACATATTTGCACGAATACACTGTTACTTATCTTCATTGACCCATTTAATAACACTACTCGGGAAGCCTCTCATCTTTATACTATTGTTAAAAATTATTGCTCATATCTGTGAAAATGACGTGTACCCATTCTTTCAAAAATATATATTGTTATTGGGTTATAGCTTATATCAGATAGTATTAAATACCCCTAAAACACTTTTTAAGCTGATCTCAAATCTCAAGTTGAACTCCGGATACCTAACGTTGAAGATTTGGCGATACAAGTGTCAGTTGGTGACAAAATCCTATGTCGTGGTAATTCAAGCGCGAACTTTTAAGGTGGTAACATTTTTTCGTGTGGTTTAGGAATTTTCAACTTGTTCATCTGCAGGATATACGTTACTGACATTATCACCTCATCGTTTATGTCAGGCACACTTTGTCTGGGGAAAACAATTTTGTCAGACACTTACCAATTAATACAAATCTGTTGCCGACTTCGTTTCCTACATATCCTACAAAAGCCCTGAACGGTTGATACTGACACGTCGTTACATCTGAATTATATTAATTGAGATATAAATATTCAATTGATCGTTATTCTCACACTATGACTAAACACCATATATCTGAGATACATTATATACCCATTGTATCTGATTCTAGTACTAACCTGGATAATACTTAATAAAAACTATATACCAAGATATTCTTTTAAGTTAAGCGAACTCACTACTCACTTAGCTTCAAATTATGGCCAGTAACTCCAGTAAAAGAGGAATTTCACCGACTTCGAAGCCAACTAAAATCAAAATCTTAACCTCTGTGTCTGACAATGTCAAATCATCATCTGAACCCTATGATAATATTACTACCTGATTATCCGAGTGACAACCACTCTGTCTTCGTGCAGTATGCCAGTGGTAAGACTGGTTGACGTGAAAGACACAATACCCAAGTGCATAGAAAAGTTAACACAGTCTACTAGACAGCATGTTTTACTATGGCCGAAATAGTTTATCCCATATATACCCAAATACTGATCGATATAGTACTGATATCCGTCTCTAGGCAAATTTAATCCTAGGCTAAACCAAATAGCACCCCTAACACATATGGGGAGTTAATACTGATAAAAATCTTGAACGGCTCACTAATGCTGAGTTTATTTTAGAATTTGTGGCATAGGGATGTACCATCTCACAATCCAGTTGCATACAATCGCCTTAGCCACAAACACCTATCTAAGTAAGGAGATATTTGCCAGTCATCCACCTTAGAAAAAAGTCGGGCAGATTCATACAGCCGCTATTGTTGAGGCTGGCTGTTGTAGCTATGCTAAACAGCTTATTTATTCGATCAAAAATATCAAAAATACCTTTAAATAACGACGTAATGACATTTCTAATCCCACAGAAAATTACTTAAATGTGAGCCGTGTGACGACACACATCCAACCAAACATTTCCGCTTGAAAACTTGTCCTCCTAAGTGTACTCCATAGGATGACTCGAATGAGCTTGAATTCATCTCACAGAGTCAAGGAAACACTCCACCTGTGACGAAGTGTGGAGACACAAAATCCACTATACTGGTTAGGGAAACACGTGTTTGGAATAAAGCAGTAAAATATCTTTCCGATTGCACACCGAAGAATGGGTTTTCTAGGTGTTTACTGTCTATTTTTGACATTTCAGTTAACAGAAATCTAATGATATATTACCAAACTGTTTACGTATGGAGTCCTGTTTGTCGCAGTGTATCGTAAATTACTAGAGTTACCGCGGTGGATGAATACTAAGTATCCCTTTTCCTTTAACACTGAAAATGATTTTAATATGACTGGAAGTGTTGATAGAGAAAATAGAGAAAAAAGTCCAATCAAAAGTGATGAAGACCACTCGACGAAACTTGGTGGATCAACACATTATCCTTCAACAAAATACGAAAACATTCTTAGCCACTTAGGAATCAACAGAAAAACTGTCAGTTTAAACTAGCCCTGAACAAAGTTAAATAATATTGTTAAAGTTCTATTCACTCAGCTTGTACTTTGTTATACTCGCCTACGTAGTACGTTGCTAAGCGATACAATTTTGCTAGTTTTCGACAAGATGTTACAATACATTTGTTTTTAATTATAAATTGATCGGTTGAATTATTTGTCCAGTTATAGCGTGTTAGGAGCTAATTGAACTAAGAATTTATAAGCATTATATCGAAGATTTACTCCAACAGTGGTTCCAGTCAACTGATAGAAATGCTCATAACAGTTCAGTAGATTTTGACAAACAGTGCCATGTATTTAAAACGACAGATATAAAAGAGACAGGTTTTGGATATATCTTGTCGCATACCGCAAAATAGTTGCATATATTTACATAAAATGAGTCGAATCAGAAGATGTAAATACTCACATGAACCTAAAGCTCCCTAATTTGGGATAAAATTGATCAAGTGTGAGACAGTTCCACTCAAAAGATGTTGGAACTCTTCCGAATTTTTTCGTGTGCTTTGAAAAAATGCTAAGACTTGCTACATGAAAAGCCCAAACCTATCGCTGGTTAAAAGTTTTTTTTCAACACACACTCAAAAGTTTACTACGCCAAGAATTTGGGTGAAGTATTTTTACTGATATCGCAAACGCTACCATTTTTCTGCATAAAATTGGTATGTATGAACATCCTTGGAGTATACTTCAAGGATGTTTCTTGTAATATCACACAATAGACGCCGACAATCTGAAGAGTAATCATGTTCACTATTAAACTAGGTTTGTGTAGAAGCTTTATTGTTTGCTTCACTAAAATCTAGTTTTTCTTGCAACGCATTCACCGCTTGATACTGCATTCAAAACTGTTTTGTTGAACGATCTTACATCCACACGTTACCAAGCGTTATACAGGTATTGTTTCTCTTTAACACTTCTCATATCTTACATCTTGAATGTTGTTTTTGGCCAGATAAAATTTTCGTGTTATAAATGAAGTTGTTGATCAAAATAAATAAGTGGTATTTACAAACCAGAAACGGTTTGGAGGCTGAATATCCATTAAAACTGTCCACTTGAGCCTGTGATATTCTGAAACAGAAGTCTAGAGTGATAACATTGGTCACTGTTATCAGAGAATATGATATATATACATATTTGTTCACGACATGAGATTGAATTATAATTACTTTTCAAATGTTGTATGCACTTAACTGAAAATGACGTAAACTATAGTGAAGTATGTTTCTGTGGCAGGCTGAAAAAGCGGTAATCCTTCATCTCGACGTTGTTCTTTGTTCCATCAAATTCTCCTTGAATTGCTAGTTGGAATGACAAAGTGTAAGCAAGCACCAATCTTGTGATTTTACGAGGGTGATCGCATATCTTCGACAGTTTGTTCACCTAAAGTGTATTAAAACGAAAACTACAACCTACGAAATGAACATGAAATTTATCATTCGTTGACACACTTCAAAACACCTGGCTTTTCAGCTGTACAAATTGAAAACCGCAGACGCCGTGATCCGATGCCGTATGTTATTCCGTATTTACCTTTGATAGGAGGCTTCTTTAGACATACCTTCAACTTGTAGAGTCTATCAGGCAATTACCTAATTGTATCCCAAAACCTTGACACTCCACGTATACATATAAATGTTGATACAGCATGCTTGTAAGATACAGTACGTAGTGTTGGCTGTACAGTAGATCAGTTAACTAGTGAAATGAATTCCAGTTGGGAAAATCTGATGCGTATAAACCAAATAAATGAATTAATATCTGGTAGTCGGCGAGTTGTTCAAGGGAATGTTGACTTTCGGATAGTTTACTGGACTGCAGCCGTTATCAATTTCATTAGCTTACGTTTCTTAAGAGGTATATTGGTGGTTGGTGATTGAATTTTTGGTTTTCTGACAATTGTGTTTACTGCGTAAAATCACCAATTTCCCTTTTCGATTTTTTCAAGTGACATGATAGCCTGTCATACACGTAAACGTTTTTCGTACTGACATTGAAACGATTTGGCATTGATAACTTCAAAACAATACTGAATCAAAGTCTTACTTAACAGCCATATCTGGTATAATCATACCATAACGCAATACTACACGACTTTGCCTCCCAGAAAGATCTATTCCCCTTCGTAATCTATGCGATCCCGAATTTGCAGACCTTTTGCATTTCTGTTGAATGCGAATAACTATGTATTCAGTAATTAATTCCGTGTAACGAAATAAGATTGTCCTCTCTTAACATTCTGTACGACACTGAGCACCATTCATTAGGTGAATGTCCACAAAGTTAGCAGGATTCATGAATAGTTCTTCATCGAAAAGTTACTTGCTTACTTTGATAAGTACCTGCTTCTAACTTAATCCACTAATGGCTGCAAACAGTTTGTTCATAGGCCAAATAATATTTAAAAGACAGAAGTTACTTCAAAGTAACAACACATGAGTAAACATGATAAAATTTTACCACATATGTATGTGGTAACAGAATAAAGTTCTGAGAAATGTATTTATAAAGGAGAACAGATCAGGGTTTTTGACCGATGCTTGAGTAAACAATGACATCAAATAGAATTTCATCACATTTAATGCATTGCAAATGACATGCTTAAAGATAAACTCACCAACCCATGGTCTTCAAATAATAGGCTAATTACCAGGTTAATATCCACATAGTTCTGTGGTATGTATATTGTACCATAAAAATGCAGTTTCAAATTATGATTTAGGATCGATGAATACAATATTGGGGATGACAAATAACTCGCAATCTTAAGATAGAGAATACATTCAAATACATCACCGTGATCGGTCATGGATTACGACACACGAACGTCCCAACTAATTGTTTAGATTATGATGTGGTCCAAAACAATGGTCTCATCTACCAATATGAACCAGACTAATGGTCAGTAACTTCATAGATTGATGTCGTTTCTCGATCTGGCCATCAGTGGCTCCTTCCAATATACTCCTAGATTGACCGTATTTACACATCTAGGTATGCGATAACAGTGAACAAGTAATGCCCACCTTGACTATTCCAGTAGGTTTAATGCATCATTGATCTACCTTTAATATCTACGTAATACCTTACTATAGACCTATATGTCGTTCACTCCACTGTTCCACTGTGTGTCAGTAATGCTTCAAAAGTATCAATAATCAAGTTGTATAAGTCTGTAAATGTCTTCTACTTTCATAGACCAGGTTTGATGACCGCCGAATAATACAGGCATACTCGCCCCTTGTTCCCCAGAAAGTCATCTAAAAACGTCACAAGAGACGAGACTCGGCAATTGAAGTTTCAATAGTCGAAGATACCACTCTTTTACCGTCATTCAGCATTAGAGCTTTCGCTCATAAACATAACTTCACGCTATAGAGTGTAATAAGTTATTTGCTGAAAAATATTGTAACAGATACCAATAAGTATATATATAACTGTCTCAATCGTATCGAACATTTTGGAGGATAATAATTGTGACATCGCATGATGAAAGATAAATTCATGAGTTGTCTTTTCTTAGTGACATTTACTGTACATTAGCTAACTGCCTAAATATAAGTGCCAATTTGTTTTTTCCCTTATCTTTGTTCTTATAAAAGCATAAACCCTTCTATGGCTTTTTTTAAATTTAATTAGCATTTATAATGTCCACTGATTGTTCCTCAGAATACGACCAATTAGAATGCGAATCTGTTGTATCAACAGACGTTTGTATGAAAACAGATAATCAAATAGTTGAAAAACTCGTCCCAAATCTGACAAATCCATATAATGAAATGAAACGCCCAGGATTAACGCCTTCAATAACGGCTTATCGATGGATTACATCGCAACCAACTTTAACAAAAAGTGTATTTAGTAAAATTGAATCTGAAACTACGGCACAATGGCTAAGTAATAGTACAACAGATGATTGGTTAATGCATATCCCGAAATGTTCAATAGAAAGATATGATAAGAATTCCTTTAAGAATTGGAAAGCTGATTATTTAAAACAACCACGTTCACATGATCAAAACAGATTCACTACATTGTATTCAACTAGTTATGAAGCCAAGCAGTTGGATGAGCAAACAAAGAGTAGGCCTACATCTGCTAATCGCCGAAATAAGCCACAGCCGTCAAGGTACGCTATTTCAAGTCATTATCTGAAATTATTTTTGTTTTCATCAACCACTAATCACTTCAATGTGGTGGCTGATGGAAAATAATTTCCCAAAGAGAACCATGCACTTTGAACAAGACTAAATTTATTGAAATAATTAACTGAACAATGTTTGATCAACATTGAAAACCTGGGAGCACTGGCATTCACGCGAGACCGAAGGTCCTGGGTTCGAATCCCGCGTGCTGGATTGTGGCTTCCCACAGGTGAAGAGTCCTATATTCGGACGCCAACTCCTTCTCAGTGGTGGTCTATCACTTATCGGTTTATGGAATTCAATAATCTCCACAACCCCATACCGAAAATTAACTTTAAATCCTCACCACAGAGTATTGTATACCTCAAAAAGGCTTGTTAGAAGAAAACACCAATGAAAAATCATATTGTAAATAGATATTATTAGTGGCGAATGACAATTAAATATTATCGTGAAAGTTATATGCATATATATTGTTCAACCTTAAAAAGCGGATCAACAAAAAAGAGCTCTTGGCCAAACTATCCTGTTGTTTGAATTTCTAGACAGGCATTTATCACTTATATTTTTATTTTGCAATTGGTTCATTAAATGGAATTTTGTTTGACACTGAAGATGTAGATGAAACATCAGAAACACTTAATAACCCAATATGTCACACCCGTTTATATTGAATACCTTAGGTGCGGCAATACTGAAAATTGTATGGAAACTATCCTAGAATGAAAACTTCCAAATATGATGATAATTACTAGTTCGGACCAAGATGCACGTTTTCGAAGTAAGTTTTACTCTAGGTCTAAGTTTCAGACGGCTCATATGTTAGATTAGACGGCAGTCGTTATAACTTCTTGAAGACTAAGTTCGATGAAATAACAATACTCTTAATTTCATTTTTTATACATTTACGAAATATGTTTTTAAGATACTCATATGTCTTCGTGTTAATGAACATCCATGATATTTCTGTTTTTGCATTTAGACTCTTCCTTACTTTTCATTTACATAAATTGCCTAAAAACCAAGAAAAGGATACACGAAAAGAGATATGAACTACTGTTCAAATAAATTCATTTCACGGCAAATTTATGATCATTTCACACGCACAAATCACAGATTCTGTCCACTAAAATTTGCTAACACGATATAAAATCTAATTCCAAATAGTTTGCTAATGTAAGTATATATTATATTACTGCTTCATGTGTAATACTTAAAATTACAATAGATTTCTCCCTTATTGTTTAGAAAACTTGCAAGCTCCAACTTGTGAGTTATAATAAGCTCCGCCTGTAGCCCTTCTAGGGTTACTGTCAGTCTCAAGCCCAGGTCAAGGAGTTTCGGGCACCGGGAATGAGAATTCCATGCATCCAGGATCATTAAAGCATCCTAAAAAACTGAGAGAGGGAGATCACAATGAATATTATCAGTGTTATGCACCAACCAATAATAGAAAGGATGACGATAAAGATCAGTTTTACGAGAGGATGCAATCAAACATAGCGAAGAGCTCAGGAAAGCACCTGACCATCCTGATGAGGATCCTAAACGCCGAGGTCGGATTGGACAACATCGAGAATGAAGATGACATAGGACGACATGGACTGGGAGGAAGGAACGAGAATAGTGACAGATTTGCAAATTTATTTGCGTTCGACAATATGGTTATAGGCGATACAATATTCCCCCACAAATGCATACAGAAAACTACATATATCTCACTGAATAACATCACAGAGAATCAGACCAATCGTATCTGCATCAGGGAAAAATTCAGGTCATTGGAAGACGTGAGAATCAGAAGGGGAGCTGGCATAGCTTTAGATCATCACCAAATAGTGGTTGCCCAGATGAAAATAATGCTAAAGAAGCATTGGCCCCCGAATGCCCTGGCACAGCCAAGAGTGGGAAGAGTCCACTATCCCTCTCGAAATGCTCTCACATAGCCAAGCGTATATAGCCTCTCCGGGGAAGTCTTACTTACTGCCTTCTCGTGGCGGAGGTGTTGTTTACGAAATTCAGAGGACGAAAAGCGAATGTCCGGCGCTTTGACGGGGTTGATGGACATGGAGAGTCCACCTAGGAGAGTTGAGAAACCCTGATTCCAAATCAGTGGTACACATGGGTTCAAGTATCCTGAGGGAACAAATGGCGTATAAACCAATCTTAGGTCACCGGCTACCATGAGACTGCATCTCCTTACGATTCTCCACTGCCTTGTGCATCAAACATTTAGGTCGAAGGCTCCGGGTGTGGCCCCCTAAGAAAACCACCTGATTCGGTTTGATCATCCAGGCAGTATCCCAGCCTTCACACAAATCAAATGAGATTCGTGTGGCCCATATGTATTTAGTGCCTCCTTGTACCAATATCTATGTGTTCAAATAAATTGGACAACTGAAGAAACAGTATTACAATAATCCAATGCAACCTTCTTTCGAGATACTGACAAACTCAACGAATTCAAGGCAGCTCTCAACAACAGGTTCCACGCCCTACAAGATCTACCCAGAGAAGAAGAGGCTACTATGGAGGACAACAGGGAAGGGGTTTAAGAAGCACTAACTCCAACATGTCAAGTTCTGGGCCTCAAGAAGTGTCATCTTAAGGAATGGATCTCTATGGAAACCCTGGACAAGATTCAAGAAAAGAAGAACGAGAAGACAGTAATTAACAACAGTCGAACAAGAACAGAGACATTGAAGACACAAGTTGGATACACTGAAGCAAACAAGCAAGTGAATAAGACTATTATAGCTGACCAGCAGAAATACGTGGAGGAGCTAGCAACAACCGCTGAAAAAGCTGTGAGAGAAGGAAATATGAAACAGCTTTATGATACAACGAAGGAACTAGCAGGGAGATATAGTAAACCAGAGAGATCGGTCAAGGACAAAGAAAGCAAGACAATCACTGAGATTCAAGGACAGGGGAACAGATGCGTGGAACGCCTTGAAAAACACTTGAATAGGCCAGCTTCGTTGAGTCCACCGGACATCGAAGTACGACCTGCAGACCTTCCTATAGATGTCACCCCACCAACGATCGAAAGAATCAGGATGGTCACCAGACAAGTCAAGAGTGGGAAAGCAGTTGGACCTGACAATATACCAGCCGAAACACTGAAGTCAGACATAGAAGTAACTGCAAGCATATTCCACGTTCTATTCAGGAAGATCTGGTAGGAAGAACAAGTTCCGACAGATTGGAAGGAAAGACACCTCATTAACACACCAAAGAAAGGAGTTCTGAGCAAATGTGAGAACTACAGAGGCATCACACTACTGTCGGTACCAGGAAAAGTTTTCAACATTGTTGCTGAACCGGATGAAGCACAAAGTAGACACTCAATATCGAGATAAACAGACCGTGACGATCAGTCGTGCACAGATCAAATAGCGACACTATGAGTCATCGTTGAACAATCAATTGAATGGAACCTGTCACTATACGTAAACTTTCTTGAGCATGAGAAAGCATTTGACAGTGTGGATAGGAGAACACTATGGAAACTTCTTCGACACTATGGTATACCTGAGAAGATCATCAACATCATACGGAATTCATCCGATCGGCCATTGTGCAAAGTGTACAGCTGGCAAATACATTCAAAGTGATGTTCGGAGTCAGATAAAGCGCTTAATCTCCCCCTTTCTCTTTCTACTGGTGGTCGGTTTGAATATGAAGACGTCCACATCTGAAGTGAAGCACGGAATACAATGGGCTGGTTGGATGCAACTACGAATGCAGGTCAAGATAATCAGTGTAGCGGTTGGCTCTGAATCAGTAGGCCCCAACATACACTAAGGAAACAGCAAGATCCTCAAATACATCATGAAAAACACCAACACAGTCACACTTGATGGAGAAACTCTGGAAGAAGTGGATGGTTTCATGTAGCTGGTCAGGAGCATCATCGATGAACAAGGAGGATCTGATGCAGACATAAGGGCGAGGATTTACCAAACAAGGGCAGCATTCCGACAACTGAAAAACATATGGAACTTATAACAACTGTCAATCATTATCAAAGTCAGAAATTCCAATACGAACGCCAAGAGAGAACTACTATAACCATTATTAAAAAGGTACAAGTATTTATAAACAATTGTCTACACAATAATAATCAATGTCCATTGACCGGATATCATCAGTAACAACCTACTGTGGAATAAAACAAACCAGATCCCAGCTGAGGAGGAAATTAGGAAAAGACGCTGGAATTTGATAGGACATACATTGAGGAAGTCACCAAACTGAATCAAGAGGCAAGCACTAACTTGGAATCCTGAAGGCAAACGGTAAAGAGGAAGGCCAAAGAACACACTGTTCTAAGGATTAGAAGCAGACATCAAAAGGATGAATAGCAACTGGAAAGGATTGCCCAGGACAGGGTTGGATGGAGAATGCTGTTGGGCGTCCTATGCTCCTTCACAAGGGGTAACAGGTAAGTAAGTTCCTAATGAAATTTATAATTAAACTTTATTTGGGTTTGGCTGAAAAATTATTTGCTAGAAAAGTAATGATTAGTCCAATGATCATTAAAAATCTAAAGGTAACTTAAATGAATCCGGACCCGACAGCATACCAACTGAAGCACTGAAGTCAGACATCGAAGTAACTACAAACATGCTTCACCTTCTATTCAAAAAGATTTGGGAGGAGGAACAAGTGCCGATGGACTGGAAAGAAGGGCACCTCGTCAAGATTCCAAAGAAAGGAGATCTGAGCAAATGTGAAAACTACAGAGGCATTACACTACTGTCAATACCAGGGAAGGTCTTCAACAGAGTGTTGCTGAACCGGATGAAAGATGCAGTAGACGCCCAACTCCGAGATCAACAAGCTGGATTCCGTAAGGATCGATCGTGCACAGACCAAATTGCAACACTACGAATTATCGTCGAACAATCAGTTGAGTGGAACTCGTCACTATACATCAACTTCATTGATTATGAAAAGGCATTTGACAGTGTGGATAGGAGGACGTTATGGAAACTTCTTCGGCACTACGGAGTTCCTGAGAAAATTGTCAATATTATCCGGAACTCATACGACGGACTACAGTGCAAGGTCGTGCATGGAGGACAGCTGACAGATGCATTCCAAGTAAGGACCGGAGTCAGACAAGGCTGTCTACTCTCTCCCTTCCTCTTTCTTCTGGTGGTCGACTGGATTATGAGGACCTCGACATCTGAAGGAAAACACGGAATACAATGGACAGCTCAGAATCAATTAGACGACTTGGACTTCGCAGATGACCTAGCCCTCCTATCGCATACACACGAACAGATGCAGATAAAGATAGCCAGTGTAGCAGCAGTCTCTGTATCAGTAGGCCTCAACATACACAAGCGGAAAACCAAGGTCCTCAAATACAACACGGAGAACAGCAATCCAATCACTCTTGATGGCGAAACTCTGGAAGATGTAGAATCCTTCACATACCTGTGAAGCATAATCGATTAACAAGGAGGATCAGATGCAGACATAAAGGCGAGGATTGGCAAAGCAAGGACAGCATTCCTACAGTTGAAGAACATATGGAACTCAAAACAACTTCCAACCAATATCAAAGTGAGAATCTTCAATACGAATGTCAAGGCAGTTCTACTGTAACTGAAACTTGGAGAACTGCAACAACCACCATCAAGAAGGTACAAGTATTTATAAATAGCTGTCTGCGCAAAATACTCAGCATCCATTGGCCAGATACCATCAGAAACAGCCTTTTGTGGGAGAGAACAAACCAGCTTCCAGCTGAAGAGGAAATTAGGAAAAGACGATGGAAATGGATAGGACATACATTACGCAAATCATCAAATTACATCACGAGACAAGCCCTAACTTGGAATCCTGAAGGGAAGCGGAAATGGGGAAGGCCAAAGAACACATTGCGTCGGGAAATAGAAGCAGATATGAAAAAGATGAATAACAACTGGAAGGAGCTGGAAAGGATTGCCCAGGACAGGGTTGGATGGAGAATGCTGGTGAGCGGCCTATGCTCCTTCACGAGGAATAACAGGCATAAGTAAGTAATAGAATTCGGTAACAATTCAAACACTTTCTAACGCTCGAATCAACCAGTAATGGGACAATGAGGAGCTTTAGTATGTATAGAAAGCTTTATGCTTAAGGTCATGCATAGACAAAGTTACGTGAACGGTAAATCTGGTCACCTTAATAATCCCTTCATTCACAACATTACGATCACGGCTGCATTTTCCAAACACTATGAAACCTTAAAACACCAGGTAACCTGCCTGGGATTGTTTGGCTCAATAATGTTAAACAGCTTTTTTATATGATTTTAAAATCCTTCAGCAGTAAAAATAGGAACTCACATTGACTTCCGGTGAGTAACATTTGGACTAGTTATCCGTTTTATCAAAAATAATTAATCAACCATTATCATTTAATAATATTAAAAAAAATTCGAAATTACATAATAGAAAAAAAAATAAATAAAGCAACCGTTTGATCCTTTTTTTATTTCTAGGATTCTATCGACTTATACAAAAAAATTATTTGCTGACATAACAAGAATTTACCAATCTATTCACGTATAAATCCACCAGTTATTTTTTCCCACATTCCACCCTTTTTAATATCCTACTAATCAAAATTAATGTAGTGAAAAATGAAATACCCATGTAACGATTAGAAAATGTTTTGTGACAAATGTTCTGTTTGTAGTTCTATAAAATTAATTATACTAAAATTTACTCAGTTATTAACTTTATATTATTTTATTTTGTTTATAAATTTTCAACTACTTATTTATTTGCTACAAGAATAGATGATTATTTTTAATACAAATAGTTTATTTATATTGTCATATTTACAAATATATTGATACATTTAAACGATTGTTCAACAGTTTACATATTTATGTTCACCCTTTGTTATAAAAGCTAGAAACTGCTTGTTGAACTAAGTAAATGTGCGGACAATTGTCTGAATGTATTTATCTTATTACAAATGCCTCAATAAACGGAGATAAACAACTGGTCATCAAAGAATGTAGTCTCATACAACAAAATGCTACATTAATAGACAAAGTACTTATTTCAATATCATTTAAGGAAGGATTATAAAATATAATTTGTATAGAGCACTCAGCGTTAGATAAAACTAAGACTTGAATATCAGGCTTAATTTTTTCTTTCTGTCATCAGCATATGTTCTTGCATATACAGAAAAAGATAACTAAAAGTTAAATTAGAGCTAACCGTGTATTAAATAACGTTTTCTATTTGTTTATCAACCCTTAATGTGTAAAAATTAACGGTTAGTGTATTGTAAAGTCACTTCAGACTTTATGGCCTGTATTTAACTATCATACTATCGATCTAGCCAGATGCTGTCCTCTAAATAAAAAGAACAAATGACAGATCAACTGTGAAAAAATAAATTTCGATTTGAATGAAACAGATATACGCTACAAAGTAGATTTAACTAAACCAGATAAAATTCATACAGGAAACTCCCAGTCGTATAATTGTAACCTAAATTTAAATCAGGTTTCGATTAAGTTTTAGTGACTACCCCTTTTCAAATTATTTAATCCACAAATCCGCTTCCTAGTTATTGAAAAAAATCGAGAACTAAAAGAAAGTAATGAAAACTGTCTGGTCCTAGTGTAGTAGACGAGAACACAAGTAGAGGACAACTTAGATATTTGAACACTAAATTACAGAACGTCCTAGTAAATTTTGAGAACTATACAGTAAATACTTAATTTGCAAAGTGTCAATCAATCATCTCAGACTTCATTGTTCTTTCTTTTCCAAACCAATCATCCTCTGTTCTCGTTCTCTTTTTTTCAATCTTCCTAACCATCTGCCTTTAGGCATTATACATTCAATTGATGATACATACTACTTATATCTGTCGACATCAGTAGCACACCTCAATAGAAATGTACACTAACATACACACTACAGTACATTCTATTAGTAATAACTTTCTAGCATCCAATTAACAGTTGTCACGGGAAATAATGGTTAAATTGCCAATTTAATGCACAGACGTTTGCTGTCTTTTTAGTCATTGCTTAATTTCGTCTAACCAAGTGGTCGATCCTTCCCATAGTTTAATTTATTTATTAATTTCTATCTAGTGTAACTATTCTTTCTTGCCGGTTAATTTTACCATGAGCTAAAATCAACCTAAGTATTAGGGATATACAATACAAAATTAAAAACTTATGGGAAGCAAACAAATAAGGTCAAAATTCTGCTACAGTGAAGTATTCAGTTTGAACACTGTTCAAGGAATTCCCATATATTAAATATTCTGATCACTTTCTATGGATATAAAATCGATAAACTTAATGTATTTTGTTTGATTTTACTCTACGTCAAAGACCATCTAATGAACTGATGTTTCTACTATAGTTAGTGGGACAGCGAAAAGAATAGGAGGTAGTCTTATTCACGACATTGATTTTGGAGTCGCAAATTATCAGCACAGAGCACGAACATATAAGTCATCAGAAATTGATGAGAATAATGCATCTCATACGTTCCAGTTTGGGACATAAAAGCAATAAGGACCTCAAGAGAAACATATCTCACATCACAAAACCGTACACTACACAATTTCGTGTACGAAAATACGAACACACAATGAAATTCATATAGGTTTTGCCAGTGGTTATCTGTATAATGAAATGATGACCTTTTGAAAATTACCAATAAGATCACACTTTTAAGAATGGAATTATAATTCTAATAAACATGGGTTTATTCTATTCGAGAAGTCAAATTCCCTCTATGCTGTTCGCTTCTGGGGATATTTCTAGCATGTGATCAGACTTGATAAGGTTTATAATTTTCCTGTTTTATAGTGATTTTTCTCCAGCTAATTAGCATTCACTAAAACAAAAGCTTTCGTGTCCATTTTCAGATGACTCTATAGATTTTAGTCATAGCATACTATCAATCAAAATAAGTGATTAGCACATTTGTGTTGGGTATACATAGTTTCTTACATGTACCTATGCACACAACGAACTTTGTCTCGCCGTGACTAATTGATATGTCATTAAAGCCAATTATGCCAATACTAACTATCGTATTTTAGTGGCCTTATATCTGACCCCAGTTTAATCGTGCGCTAATTGTTGCCAAAATATACCTGTCGCCAGCCCTCGTATATTCTCATCGGTTTAAATCGCGTCAGTTAATAGCGGAATAAAATAAGTTTTAATACATATATTTCGTTCACTCATAGATCTGGGAGACGAAGCGAAATGACGCGCAGTGGAAAGGGCGAGTTAACCAACTCGGTTTAACCAAGCTTGACTCGATATATATAGTCGAACAAAAATAAGTTACAGACATTTAATGAATGGCGCAAGCAATTTAAATGCATACGATCATATAAAAACAGCCAGGGTTAGTAAACGAATGATAAATAAGGTCAAAATGTAGCTTGAGAATCGACAAATTGGTCTGTCTAAAAGTTAGAATAGCCCAAGTGGGCTTGGTATTGTACCAACCACCACAATATAATAATAATAATATCAGCTAGTGTCAGATTCATGAAACTGCCTTTAAATGCTTAAACTAATTGGTTATTTCGCTAAAAACGACCGAAGATTTATGTATCGCTACTCATACCGTTATATTACGAATACACTAAGTGTACATAAGATTACCGATTTTTTAAAAATACTTTGATAAATAGCAAGTTGTGAGTTACAGTCCAGTTGTACCAATTTCTATATTATTCACTTACAAATACCAAAAGAATCCACCTGAAGTTATATTAAACCTGTTAACTTACTAGACATTGAATTAAAAGGGTCTACAGACACACTAGTGGTAAAATTTTGACTTAAATATATCGTCCCGTCCGTAAGAATTAGAACTAAATGCTGTAACTTGTCAGTCTTTATTAGCATATTTGCATCTTGTCTAGATACTGTCATTGTTTCAGGTTTTTGGTAAAGTCGAATTGTGACCAGCGGCGAGATCTGACAAACGTTTCATTCTATTTGCGAATTAAGTTTATCAGAATTATGTGATATTGTCCAAAACGTAATGCGCAAATATATCACAATTCTGACAAACTTCGTCTTCTCATTGCATTATCGAAATTTATCAAAGGGACTAAGCCATGTGATTTTGCAAATTTTCGGCAGAATCTAACATTTTTGACATGATGTTGAGCAGGTTTTGATAAATAGTACCATGCTTTAAAAGTGACAAATTTAAGTCAGTCAGGTTTTGGCTATGTCTTGTCGTATACCATAATATGTTTGTATATATTAACATAAAATACCTAGATGTGAATGTAACCATACAAACGAATAGGGGAAAAGTGGTGAGGCTATCATTTGTCGACGACCTTTCAGCGACGCCAAATTTACCTTGAGAGTGTTTACCTACTAACTAGGGCTAAATGAGGGTTATAAAGAAGTTTGAAGAATAAAGATTATAATTGGTCTGTAGCTGGCAGTAAAATCAGGGACTCACATTTCATCCCATGTGAGACACAGCCGGATATGTTAATATGCCACCACTGATGTTCAACTATTGCTTCAAACCGGACGAGTTATCCACTGAGTCTAGATAGTCACTAACTTGTCTGACGAGTGTAAATTTATATCCAAGATTTACAATTTTTCAGAATAACAAGTACAAACTAGGATGAAACGTACTTTCTTATATTCACTGCTGAAATCCAGATATATTAAGACTGGTAACTGAAACTTATTACCAAGGCAATCTGCTCGGGATAAAAATATACCAACAGACTGACCAATCTCAGTCTTTAATGTCAACAATGAGAAGATCCAAAACTTTACATATCACTCCAATTATTTATAAATACCCATTTCAATTCGTCTAAAATTTCCCACAATTTCGCCTTTCAAGCACGTTACTGTTCTCTAATGTTCAATTTATCTTTCAATTTCTAAGTACGTTACTATCAAAAATCTATTAGCACGTAACACAGGAGAAAACAAGGAATTACAGTGAATTTATTGTATTTTGCAAATATTATCGTACTTTATTTAAATAACGAATGATTATAATATAACAAATGTGAAATAATCCAAAGATACGCAGATACGTTATGAAATATATTTCCCTTAAAACTGACGGTTATCTAACGGACTTACATGTATGTCAGAATATGTGAATGGACAGTGAATGAATTTACTGTCTTCATAAATATTTATTCAGTTATCCGACTTGAACTTAGAGGTGAGTTGTTAAAAACAAGAACTTAAGTAAACGTATTTTTGAAATTTTACACGTATAAATCTGAATTTAAGTTAACAGAAATCGTCCTTTAAAAAATAATTGCTTGTGTTTTACACTTTCTCTGATAAGCGTAGCCTATAGTTGACCACAAAAACCTTTGTATGCTGCTAAGTTTTCAAGACATCAGCTTAAAATATGAGAATTTAAATTCTTACATTGTATGAATTTATGTATTTGAAAAAAGCATCATGACAAAGTGAATTACAATGAGAAACTGTTGTGAAAATAAGCGTGTTACTTGAAA